AGCAGAGAGTGGCTCTGCAAAGAAAGGAATAGGCTTTGTAGCATTAGCAAAAATCTCTTTACTCTCACTTTATTCTCCTCCTCCTGTGCTAGTTGGGATCACTCAGGTATGGGGTCTAAAGTGGGTTTACCCCCGAGGCTTTAAACTTTGTGGTTGGTGGTGGGGGAGCAGGGCTGACACCTTTCCGTATGCAAGTGAAAATTGGACAGACATGTTTGGGAGTGACACTGCTCCTTGTAACCTTCATGACAAGGGAAAGACATGCTTTAAAAACTCAGTTGAGTGTGTGGTTTTTTTTTTTTTTTTATCAGCCTAATGCCTTTTGGAGTCTGAATCTCTCTCTCTCTCTAACCCTTTCCTCTCCCTCTTCAGTCAATCTTTCAGCTTCCCAAAAGCTGAGGAGAAGCTGTTGCTGCTATGGGTGTCTCTCATGTCCTTGGGATGTGTTGCTGTTGTGTGTGCCGGGCCTGTGCCCAGCCCTGCCTGTGGAGGGAGCCAGGAAGGATGGAGAACTGAACCTGCAGGGAGAAGTGACAGTAACTCAAATGGCACATCTCCTTCTGGTGTGCAAATAGTATGTTCCTGTATGCAGCATAGCCAGCTGCATGCTGTTGAGATGTGACCCCACAGCTCGGGGGGGGGGGGCTGCCCCAAACTCTTTTTTTTCTCTTCAGGATGCTGTCGGCTTAATGATTTCCTGCTGTGCCTCATCTTGTCTCTTGTACCGGTTGAATTACTTGTGGGCTGGGCAGTAAACCAGATCTGTAAATGGGACCAACTTTCAAAATCACCTTTTCTTTACAGAGCGAGTTTTAACCTCGATCAGTTCCCTCTTCTGGTTCAATGTATGGTCCCTTACGCGGTTGTCCGTGCAGTTGAGGAAACCAAGTAGAGGGGGATGAGGGATGGGAAAAAGTGCTGTGGTGCTGTGCCCAGAGTGGGGTTACACCTCTGCTTGGGGAAGGGCTGTGGGAGCTTGCATCTCCTGTGAACTTTGTCACTGGGACAAAGTTTAGGGGATGTTTGTTGTAGCAGGAGGTGTTTCTGTTGAAGTTGTAGGAAGGATCCGCAGTTCTCTCCAGATGTGACTTGGGACAAGCGGGAGAGCCCTGATGCGTGCAGCAGTGAGAGAAAGATTAGGAAATGTTTGTTCCCACAACACTTGCGATGGGGAACTGATGGCTGTGGCAGAGAGTTTACAGGTACCCAGTGGTACTGTAGATGAAAGTGCAGGATTAACTGAAATGTCAGATGATCTTATCTGCTAATATATGGCTTCTTTGAACACAGGTTGCACTGGTTTAACTGCAGCTGCTTAAACAAGCAAACTGCATCGATCCTAAATTGATCTGTTACCCTAAAAAAGAGTAACCCATGCCCTCCTTATGTGGGTATTTAAAAAAAAAAAAAAAAAATTATATTGATCTAGCTTTTTAGCTTTCTCACTAAAGTGTAGAGTGTTTGAGTTCACCCCACTGGGGTAACCTTTACCCAAAGCATGGGACAAGGACAGGATAGCATTGCTGCATGTTGGTGTGTCCTGTGGCTTGACTGTGCCCGGAAAGATACAGAATGCAGTAACTGTCTGCAAAAACTGTGATATAGGGCCCCCTTCTCTCCCCTCCTGGCTGTTGCTCTAAACTGACCATTTTAACGTGCTTCCAAATTCTGAGCAAGCTCTTAAGCTGTTCCTTGCTATGTCATGTAGCAAGAATACGTGTGCTGCGTGAATTCGGGAACGGGGCAACACTGGACTCCCAGGAAGAGAGGGCAGCTGTGCCTGTCTCTCTTGTCCTCAGCAGGA